ATGATAAGACATACCGGACTCTGGGGTTGGGTTCCGCGGGCACTGACGGTAGGCTAGAAAAGTGGCTTGCGGGATGACAGCTCCGCACCGGTAAGCCAGAACAGCAGACTGGGAGATGCTTCAGCCCTCACCAGATGACAGACGCATAAAACCACACAGACTGCTCGTCATGTCTTGGGCAGCACCCGAAAAGGGACCTCGCAGGGATGAGGGACCGGTGCGCAGCCGACTAATGTTCCACCAGAGACACAAAACCCCACCACCCAAGTGGGCAGCAGGACGCCTTTCCCAGTCTCTGCAGCCTCTGGTTTTGGGACAAACTCGCTGATCTATATTGCAGTGACACTAGTACCGCGGAAAGGCTCCTTCGCGATTCAGGCACCATATGGCCATTGGCCTCCCCCTTTCAAAGCGGGTTGTCGGAATGCAACTCAAGGCGTCAAATGGCACCACGCGTAGTCAATCTGCACCCCTGGTTGAAGAACATTTCTGATTTCGGCAGTCCGGGCGTACAAGGCTGCCAGGTCCGTGACTCGATTTGGGGTTGAGGAGAATTTTGTATAATTCATGCTTGGGCCTCGACAAGCTTTGCAGTGAAAGAAAAAGGGAGGCCGGCCACATAAGAGCGAAGAGGGGGCAAACTTGCGGACGAGAAACCACCGCAACTGCATACCCTATCCTCACCCCACCACCACCATTCCACCATGGCGACACCGTTCCAGGTCGAGGCTTGGACCGAGTATGCCATCGGCTTGCTCGTGCTCCTCGTCCGCATTGTCTACAGGTCGACTATTGTCGGAACAAATTGGGAGGGCGATGACTACTTTGCACTGATTGCAGTGTTCTTCTGGACGGTATGCGGAGGGTCCCTGACCGCATCGGGCTTTGAAGAGAGGTTGAAACTGACTTTTGGGTTCAGGGAGAACTGGTGATGCTAGAGTTGATCGGTGAGAACACTCTCGCTTCCCCTTGACAGTTGCTGTCTAGTCTGAACTCTAACAATCGTTTTGTCAAGGACAATATGGCAGCATCACTGGAATGACCGATGAGATCGCCTTGACGCTTTCCGACAAGCAAATCGAAAGAATAGTCGTTGGCTCCAAATGCCTGCTGGCGGGATGGATTCTATACGTTACCCTCATCTGGTGCTTGAAGGCATGCATGCTCTTCTTGTACCGCAGACTCACGTAAGATCTCGTTCGAGGTTGCGACTTGGCGGTGGACTCGTTCATCATTAACACGGTTGATACAGGCTGAACTTGACGCAAAAGAGGATGGTTTACATCACCGCTTGCACCTGTGTTGTTCTCTACATCGTCACCATCATTGTGATCTTGACGAGGTGCCAGCCGTTCCATGCGAATTGGCAGGTGTATCCCTACCCAGGTGGTGCGTTTTGACCTCTTTCTCGTTGTTTGACACGTCTGATTTGTGTTTATGTTCTAGACGCTTGCGCACTGAACATTCCGAACTACATTGCTCTTGCAATCACGAACGTCACGTAGGTCCACCGAAAGAAGGGATTTCACGACCGAGCGAAACTGACAGTTCATCGGGCTTAGAACGGACATGATGATTTTGTACATTCCACTACCACTATTGTGGTCTGTTCAGATGCCAATGGCACGGTAAGTTTCTTCCGCTGCAAAAGACCCCATCAATTCCATCCGACTGACCGACCCAGCAAAATCATTTGCTCACTCTGGCTCTGCACTGGTATCTTCATCATCATTGCCACGCTACTTCGCTGCATTCTTTGCCTGCAGGATGCACAGTCCATCAACCTGGGCACCATCTGGTCAATCAGAGAAACAGTAAGTGTGGCCCACGCACCTCACGCAATCTCCCTCAGCCCCCCTTTCCCGCACCCCGGCAAACTCTGTATGCGCGTCGAACTAACCCGTTTTTCCACCCTGGCAGTTCGTCGGCATCCTAGCTGTCAACGCCCCAGTCTTGGGTCCCTGGATCGCCAAAAACGCCTCAGCGGTGCGTTCCCGCACCTCCAAGAACCGCTCAAAGACGGGCGGCCAGGAGTCCGCCAACCACATCGTCACGATTGGCGCGAAGGAGAGCACCCACCGCCTGGACCGCCTTACGAAAGACGGCCGCCGGGGTCTGGGGTGGACTGAAATTGACAACGACAGCGAGGAGCGCATCATGAAGACGCAGAACGATGTCGCTGTCTCGGCGAAGCGTTCGGACGAGGAGCTCAACCGTGAGGTCAGTCCCAACGGTATCCATGTCAAGACGACCTTCCAAGTTTCTGGATGAGACGACCGGAGAGGACACGGAGGAAAAGAATACCCCAACGCGTTGTAACACGATGTAAACTGTGTAATGTAAAATAGATGATTGGATACGCATGGAAGTTAGTTAGTTGGCTCAACGGGTCTGCTGTCACCGTCGTGGCAGAGCGACCCAAAATCACGCCAGCTAGGCTGTTGGCTCATAATACTAGTTCATATATGACATCGCAACGGTGCATTAGTTCGGTTTGGGGATGATGAGTGTATCTCGTTTGGATATTGATGTTCCGCGTTGCCTCGAAACCTGGAGTTGCAACCATGTAATTACCGCATAACAAAAAGTCTTCCGCGAGTCAAGACATTCACGTGTAGGATCTCTGAACCAGCAGATGCCAGAAATCCATGGACCTTTCCGTACCACGCGGAGGATTCCATACCATCGCAATTGGGGCCGATGGAGATGATACCGGACATGAAAGTGAAACCCTGCCGGTCATCACTCGATGCTGCAAGAGAGAAGAGACAAGATAGGAAAGCGAGAACTGAGAACCACACCGAAAGAGAATGCGATGGAGTGACGACGTGGTAGATACGCTATATCCACCAGTGGGACTGCGGAGGGGTCCACTCCGCAGGTCCGCAACACTTCTCATTGGCTGAGACTCAACAACACCTCGTCCTTGTACGATCACATCACAGGCTTCACTTGGTTCTTGCGCTTCACGCTGGGCATCAGGGTACTGTTCACGAGTAATTCCCCTTGTCGATATCGACTTTTCAGTGTTCAGCTCTCCGATGGTTTAAGGCGCGTTTTGCAGTTTTCGGAAATCTATTGAATCGCACCTAGCTCGATAAGCGGGCCAGAATCCTGCTTTTGCTCCCTTTTGGAACGATTTGAGACATGGCTGGAGTCAGTACCATCCGTAGGGACATATTGGTTCTCCTACATATGTGTGCTGATGCCCTCTTACCAAGCGCTCAGGGGCCGTTGGCGCTCTATCCGCGATTTGGCCAAGCGCGAGGCTCTAGCAACTCGGGCATCCACGTCCTCGGATTCAGGGACCAAGAATACTCTTCGGAAACGTCGATCTTTGTCGGCGCTATGCGTTCGGACTTGCGCCAGCGGAATTTGACCGTTCTTCGAGAGACTATCTATGGAGCTTTTGCATATGCAGTTATCAACGGGACCTCCCGTGGCTAGGCCTCAACGCGTTGAGAATGGGGAGTTGGGAGACAAAGCGGTGATCAGCAATGAGCGGTCAGAGAGTCGAAATGTTGGATAACGGAAAGAAAAGCTTCGATATCGAAATCTGACGAATCATTACGCCCAAAGTGCGCACCGGCCGCCTTCAACAATGCCCAACGACCCATGGACACATATCGAAGACGCCCGATCACGGTTGAGTGGCCGTTGACTACGTGCGCACTTGTGAAGCCGATAGAGAAATGGAGGTCAGAGGACAGAAAGAGGCTGGACATGCCCAACAGAAGAAGACTGGATACATGATCGGCGGACGAAGGTGTCTGGATGGGACACTGGCTCAACTAAACTTCTGAGTTGTTGGAGGACGGCCGACTGAACAGCCCGAGGTATGTGAAAACATCGTGGCGTGGACAAAAACTGTGTGGCCGATTCTCGCCGAAGCCAGTGAAATCGTAGGACCTGAGGTTCCGATTGCAAAGGACACAATCATTGTTTTCGCCTTCTAAGGCTAAGGGATACAAGATTCATATTCCCACTGACAGTCAACATGTCCGTCTCCAGGCTATCCCATCGTCTTCCACATGATGCCACCGCGAATCGTCACAATTACTCCAAGTACCGCCTGGATGACTGTCTTGCTGGCTCAAAAAGCTGTTGATCAATCGGCATGACTATCGATTTGCTATGGCCGCGCTCATGTAGGTACTGGCAGCATGCCGCAGTTGATGGGATAAAGGAGATGGCGATTGAAAGCTGCAGGCTTCATAGCTTTCCACCAATTGGTCAAAGAGATCAGCGACGAAGTGGGTTGATTTTGACCCCCTGGTAAAGCTCCACAAAGAGTCTTGAACGACATTTTGATCCCTCCGTCTTCCCTCTACCGGCCCTTTCATCTTCAACATTCAACCGCGTCTTCAGTCGTGCACATCACCAAACTCGGTTCCTGCTGAGTGCTGCTGTACGACATTCGTTTCTTACTATGCTTGAGGTTTTATGATCAAAAAGCACTGAACAAATGATCTGAATTCACAAGAAGTAGCCTGGACTTCACATCAACCACAAATGCTACTTGAAAGCAGTCTGCTTCATGGCTTCAGAACATAGCCTGTCGCGAGGTGTTGTATACCGCGTCCGGAATAGTAGACAATGGGGACCAAACAAACCCATTAGCGCATGGCAAAGCTTTCTTAGACGTTGAGCCGGTCTCGATTGGATACGACTTGATGCGAATCTCCGGACTCAAAGATCATCTGGGGTCTCGTTCAGAGACGAGATGAAACATGGCGAGGCAACAACGTCTTCGTTCGATCAAACAAAGCGGTGAAGAGACATCAGTCACCGAGCCTAGCAGTCTGCATTCCGGAACGAGGACCTGAAGTCTTCAGCGTGGTCGGGATGAGTCAATTGTGATCAGTGTTGTTGACAGCAATGGTTCAAAATGTTTACGTCACGAAGCACAGAAAACATCTTTGGTTTGATTGAAACCAATCGAGAACAGTCGTTGAATTATAACTATATTAACAAGGTTCTCGTAAACGAGTGTAGGGTTTTCAAGCCTCCGGTGCCGGGGGAGTAGCCGGAGCCGCAGGTGGGGCCGCTTCCGGTGCCGGTGCCGGTGCAGGAGCTGCGGGTTGGGCGGCAGGCTCGGCGGGGGCGGGCTGAGCAGCCGGCTGTCCCTCAGCTGGCGGAGTGGCAGGTGCGGCTTGCTGCCCGTTACCCTTGCCTTTGCCTTGTCTTTGAGCACCCCCGGGGCTAATGTTGATACCTAAGATTCATCATCAGTTGGCGCTTCTCCAGGTTGAAGGCGAGGGTAGATCATACCGGACTTTCCGCCGACAGAGGTGCTACCATCGCTGCCCTTGGTAATACCGAGATTGCCGCCGACTAGATTGATGATGTTAGTCACAAGTTACGTCAGGACGGTTGAAGCATTCCTACCATTCTGGACCTGGCCGTCGGCTCCAACGGTGATGCCGGCATTGTCCTTAAACTGCTCCGACTCTTGAACTGCCTTCGGTTGACCACCTTCTCCGGCAGGTTTCGCCGCCTCACCGGCCTGTCCGGGCTGAGCTTGTCCTTCGCCAGCCGGAGGAGCGGCCCCAGTCCCAACGCCGTTGCCCTCGCCCTTCCGTTGTGCCTCCTTCGCAGCCTCGCCAGGATTTGAACCGAGTCCTTGTTCAGCCTTTGCCGCCTCGCCTGGGTTAGCTCCTGGTCCACCCTCTCCCTTGCCCTTTCCTTTGCCCTTCCCTTCGCCGCCGGCCGCACCTCCAGCGTTGGCGGTACCGTTCTTCTTTCCATTGGCCGCGTTCAGGAAGGCATCGAGGGCGCTGTTCCCAGTGCTTCCTGCATTCTTCTTGCCGCCGAGCTGGATTCCTCCGACAGATAGACCGCCGTTTCCACCGCCGTTGGCCGTCTGGTTGGCCGCCGCTCCGGCCTGGCCGTTGCCCTTTCCTTTTCCACCGCCGCCGAGCTGAAGACCTCCTGCTCCGCCGATGTTGATCCCTCCGCCCGAGAAACTGATTTGCCTCTTGGTGACTGAAGGCTTGTCGACGCTTGGTCTTACAAGAGCAGCTGCACGGCCGGCAACGCTACCCTATTGAAAGGATGATATGTTAGCTGGATGTTCAAGCAGATAGGATGGACATAGTCAATGATCATGTCTTGGTGGTGTGTTTGAGGGACACATGGTATGGTAGTAACTTACACCGAACATCTTCAACTGGCTTTCTTGGCGATCATCGCAAAGCCCCCCCTCGCCAAGTGCCAAGAGGGCAATAGCAACAAGAGGTGAGAAACGCATTATTGCCGGGACGAATGAGATCCCAGAAGTGAGTGTAAGTTCAAGAAGGGCCGCCCAGCAGCAATGAAGTGAAACGTCGAAGAAGAAGTTGAAAGAAAGAGGAAATAAAATAAAACTAACTGCAAAATCAAGCGACGAAGCCTCAAGCTTCAGTACCGCCAATAAAAGAATGAGAGACGAGAGGAGGTAAGTTGACGGGCCCGACAGACGAGATGAAGTGATGAACAGTCCGGGGAAAGAAGAGGGAACCGGCGTGTTAGTCCCACATATTACTCGGGGAACGGCATATAGAATCAGACGTCGTCAGAAAAGACAGCGAGAACATGTTCTGCGGCTGCCTCCTCCCCCTCAACCACCCTGGCTGACGTGGACGTGAATCCGGCCCGGAGAGCGTGACATTGGAGATCGCGAGCCGCATGAAGCCTCCTACTACAAGGACGGCCCCGGGGCTCGGGCCCTGCGAGATCTAGACTTTGCAGTCTTTCTACCATCTTTGCCCTGAAAGGGTCCCCTCATCCGCCCCAAACCCAGCAGGTCGGATCGGCAGAGTCACGCTAAAAGTTCCATTGTTTAAGAACGACAGAGGTTGGTTGCAAAACACGCGTCAGCGGAGCCCAGGGGGGATAAACAACGCTCGCAAAATAGCCCGGTGCGCATGAATTTGGATTGGTTTGGGCCAACATCGGACGGCGCCGCAAGTGGCTCGTCTGGAGTTGACTTGCTACCGCCTCCACCATCTCGGCACGGCTTGGCGTCGCGGAGCTGCGGCAGCGCGGGCTATTATTGGGTTACCGGGGGTCGCCTTGGTGTTTATTCCGTAGGCGGTTGTTTTGTGCAACTCTCCGAGACAAGTTCAATTGACCATGGGCATGTTTGTTGTTGTCGCGAAGGGTAGGGCAGGGTTACAATACTACCCCTCCCAGATTCAATTAGGCTTAATGTCTTTTCGTCTTTGTTTATTTCTCTCGTCATGAGGTCGTTAGATATTACGAAGAATACAAGTCGCGCGCGCACAGAAGATTGAGGGACACCAGGTTTGTAGGAAGTGCTTCAGGGGGTATTGACGTGATCTCAAGATCGGCCACACTCCCGCCACGCACCACGCTTCGTTCTCAACTCTTCCCGCTCAAAGTTACACCAAACCGTCACCATCGAAGAAGTTTTCCGCCTTAAAAGAAAGGGCGCGACATAAGAAATAAGCAAGTCTCCTTCTTCCCCCCAACCCTTCACTCCGGTCCTCCGCTTCGTTTCGCCACAGTTTACGTGATGACGTTGTCGTCGTCGTTGTCGCTGTCAAGATTCCGATGAACCTTTTCGTTTGCGGTGAGCTGTGTGCGCGCTTAGCAGCCGCAGGCGGTCGGGGCCAGCTCGAGGGGCAGGTAAGTGGTCCTGTAGACAGTCTTCACGTTGTCGTCGGCGCCGCCGAAGGAGCCGGTGGGCTCGGGCGAGTTGGGGGCGCGAGGGGGCTTCGTCAGAGTTACGGGGTGATTGTAGCCTGCAGACCAGCCAATGGTGTCAGGACAAACGCCTTGGTAAACAGTGGTCACTTGGGTGACGACGGCGGGCGTCGGAGTGACCTGCTGAGCCGCCGAAATGCCGCCCGTCGCCGTCGCGGTGGAGTTGGATCTGGAGAGGGTCTTGCTCACCGTGACAGTGACGGTGGCCGGCGGCGCGCAGGTGGATGGCTCGGCCCCGATCGGGGTGGGGTCGGTGCAGTCGTCGCCGGAGATGGAGAACTTGGGCGTCTGCGCGTAGATCACGTAGACGTTGGTGCCGTTGATGGCGTTGCTGCGATTCGCGAAGGGACAGGATGTTAGCCAACAATCTCTCTGTATCTGGTGCTCCGCCCAATGACGGAAGGCCAACCGTGAAGGCAAGGCCCTTGTCGAGTTGTGGTGGTGTGCTCCGCTTTTCATTTAAGATGACGGACACCTGACTCGTCGAGTACCCCTGTTTAGAACAGGCTGAAGGGGGGATCAGCCCTTTCAGGGGCTGGGATGAAGAAAAGCAAACCTCGAAACGACGCCTCGAGACAGAAGGAAAATGGGAGTTCTCACAATTGGTAGCCACCAGAGTTGATGGCAGAGCAGGGAATGTCAACCGAGGCGGCGCCGGAAGCGGTCTCGATGTTCTGGGCCAACAGAGTGTAGGAAGGAGGCCAGTTGACGAAGTTGACGAGGTAGACGCTGAAGACGGAAGGGTCCGTGTCGACGGTGTCCCAGCTCAGCTCGTACTTGGAGCCCTTGGTGACGGTGGAGTTGAGCGACGGGCTGGTGAACTCGATGGCGGAGACAGCCAGAGGGGCCGCGAGGGCGAGAGCAGCAGAGAAGCGCATGTTTTCTGTGGAGTTTTCTGATCCGGAATACGATACAAAAGAGTGACTGGGATCGGTGAGGGAACGAAAAAGATCCTGAAGGACCGAAGTCTGAGTTAAGGGGGCATCGCGAGCATTATGTGCACTTTTTTCGCGCGTCCACCTCGAGTCGAGTTCAAACCATGGGAAATTACCAAATTGGCGACAAGCAGCCAAGTTGCTGGGCCGCAGGAGTAGTGGAGTCTCTCGCCCGGGGGACCGACTCTCGGCTCCGTCAGCCCAGAGAAAGATATCGTGTGAGGAGTTCGTATTTTACTTTTAGCAATCCTGTTAACTTGGACGGCCTCAAGGGCCCATGTGCGGTTCAACGACAGCGGACGTAAGACTCAAGACAGCAATTATGACACGGATCGCATGTCTTGGATGGGCAAGGTCGCGTGGCGTAGCGTCAATCTAAGCGAGAGAATTAAGCACTATGCGGCACAGTCTGAGCCGATTCCTCTCTCGGCTCTGCCCCTGAGTCCTGCGCCTTTGTGCCCACGAACTGGTGCCCCCCTCCAAAACCTCATAATGGCCCTATGTAAGGGGGTTTGCCCGAACCGGACCGTTGAGACAGGCGTGCGGCCGGTCTATTGGGCGTCCGGCAGGGGCGCGATTCCCGATACTCGGGCTCCCACGCGCGGTGACTGGTCGTCCAGCCTTCAGCCAATTTTCAAGCCATCCTCCTCGATCCTCCTCACTTATTCTTGTTCATCCTTCTTTCAATGAATCGACTCAATCGAGCCATGGCGCTGCGTCCTCTCGGTTCCTTTGAACGCGGCGCTGCGGCGTGGCGCCTCGTAAAGGACGCCCAACCATGGCTGTCATCTTACCGCCGCGCCGCGCCGCACACTTGCACAAAAGGGGCATCGCCCATTGAGCGTGACAGAGTGCCTCATTTCGACGTCCGTACAAACAAGCACGGATTTGCAGCCATCTTACTCGACGAGCCGGGAAACAATGGCAAATGGCAAAAGGTCCCCGCAGAGAAGGAAATTGGAGATGAGCAGGTCGCCGTAAAGAGGGGGAAATCATCGACGTTTGCTGGTGTTTTTGCCGCGCGAGCCAGCAATTGAGAATTCGAGACCCCGCCACGCGCATTTCGTGTCATTTCGTCTCCTGATCGTCTCGTGGGCGCGTCGCAGGACATCGTCGCGGGTGCGGGGGCCCAATTCAACCCGGCGCGAGTGGTTTGCCATGACTCCGGCTTGGCAGAGGTGACATTTTGCCGACGGGATGAAATCCGTCAACCAGATGATTGACTTGCGGCAAAAACAACAGGCAACTGCCACTGATACGAATGACAGTCAAGCTTGATTCATCCAGTCCTCGAGAGCCAGTCAAGACTGCAGCCAATTCGGATCTGAGCCGATGTCAAAAGATTGGCAGCTCCATTTGTGGCCCCGTCTTCGAAGGGACTCTCGGCTTGGGCCGCCGAAAACCTGGGGTAGGCTGCCTCAATCTCTATTGCGACCTGCAAAATTGGCCCCCAAAGCGACATTCAAGGCTCGCTGTTGCAACTTGCCCAACCAACTCATTTCGGTGTTATTCTCAACCGTGGCTCTTCATCTTGCAACTCGTGCCAAGCAGATGCAACTCAATCATATCTACTGGTAGGTACATTGTGTGCTTGAAATACCGTGCCGCAAACGTACAACTTGGGCCAAAGCTGCTGCTTTGTTTTGGTCCCAACCAAGTGAAAAACTGTTACTTGAAGGAGCGGTGGTCCATTTACCAGGTTGCTCATGACTCCGACTTCACTGGGCGTCTCGATTTTATTCGTGGCCGTGACTTTTTGACTCTGAGTTTCAAACAACAGGAGTACCGCCTATCTTCCAAGTAATTATACCAAAAAACTTTCAAGGCCTGGGTCAGTCGTTCTGCTGAGACTAGCCGTGTGAGTTTGAGCACAAACAAGGCTTGCGAGTTGACCGAATGATTCATTAAACCATTGGTCAAGTCCCGTTTGAGTAACGGCCAGCATGCAGTGAAACAGTACATTTCTCATTCTTTGATCTCAGCTAAACGCCCTTGTATCACTGGTTCCGACACATGTACTTGCGCACAGGAGTATAAAGACTCTCGCGCCCAGGGGGCATTTTCCCACGCAGACCCTGAATGTGATGCCTCTCGCATCATGACAATTGCGCGCCATTGACGATGTTGTCGACGCTCATGCGACTTTTGATGATGATCACCCTTATCTTCAGGGTCAACGCCAAACCCTTGACAGATTATACTATCTTCGCCCCAGTTTACTCGTCCGACTCCCAGCAACTTACCGAAATGGGCACGGCGCTTGGAAAGCTTCATGGAAACGAAACCACCGGGAAACGCGAGGAAGGAAAATGCCATTACGTTTCATTCTGCAAAGAACCCAAGTACAGAGGGAAATGCATCACTCATTGCTATCCCCCAGACGAGTTCGTGATTATGGCGTCCGAGTGGCAAACGGAGACTAAATCAATCCGGATGAGACAAGGTGCCGAGTGTTGGTTTTACCGGTGAGTGTTCGAAGCCAGCCATCAATTATAATTTCGACTGACCTGTTCTCTGGCAGAACATCGCTCTGTGAAAAGAGCCGCCGCATGACCCCGAAGCAGTTTATTGTGTGGCCTGGGGCTGACCTCAAGCCACCTGTTTTGGG